AAAACAAACATGACTTGAAACATAATACATTGAATCAAGTAGTAATATTTTATCCTTTTCATGCTCCAACATGTAATACTTAGTAGTAATATACCTAGATATATCCTTAACAAAAAAAATTAAGGTAATGATATAAATCCCTAAGTTTTTCATGCTCAACAATACTATATGCATAACCATGACACAAAATAGCCTTAGTAAACAATTCACATTATTTGTTTTGATCAAAAGAACTTACCAAAGCAGGATTTTCAGCAAGATATTCCTTATAAGATTGATATTTCTTAGTATGCCATTTAGGGTTAGGTGTACCAATATAAGAATCAACTTTATATTTTTTAATTTTGCAATACTTATACTCGGCATAAATAGAACCATTGACAGATTTGATGAAGGTGTAATGCTCCCAAACAGGAGAAGTTCTTCTCCCGAACTCGGCTGAACATGTAGTCTTCCTCTTAGAGGATTTATTGACATCAATTGCTTTAGACAGTAGATCATTTACATCACCTTGCAAAAAAAACTAGGGTTAGTATACAAAATTAAAAATTATATATATATATATTATATATATATATATATATATATATATATATATATATATATATAATTATATATATATATATAAAGCATATACAAAACAAAAATGAGCAATTTACCTCTTTTAGAATGTTCTTCATTCTGATTTGTTGGGTTTCTCCTACATAAAAATGAAGAATATATTAATTCAAATATTAAAATAAAAATAAATAAAAAAGAATGACAAATACCTGGATAATTCAACTCATAAGACAAACTATCCATGAAGCCTTAGAAAAAATAAATGTTTCGAATAGTTTGTAATAGTCTTGGTTAGATCTAGGGATATAAGATGAATAGAGACAGAGGAAGAAGATGATGAACATTATCAGTTTGTGTTAGACAAAATGTACAGAAGATAAGAAGATGATGATGAACAATAAGGGTTAGGGTTAAAGAAGATTAAGAGGCTCAGTTTGAGTTTGGGGTTAGAAAAGATGAATATAGACGGAAGATGAAGAGGCTCGATTTAGGTTTAAGGTTAGAGAATATGAATATATATATAAGATGAAGATGTTATGTTAGGGTTTAGGATTAGAGAATATAAACAGAGACAAAAGTGAAGAGGCTCAGTTAGGGTTTGGGTGGTTAGAGAAAATGAATAGTTATGGGTTTGATATAAAAAATAGTTTGGGTTTTGATTTTCGGTGTTAGTAAGGATAAAATAAGGGTTTTGGGATGAACATGGATGAATTTGGGTTTGGGTTTAGGGTTTGATCGAAAAAATATGTTAGTTTTAAGTTTTGGGTGTTTGTAAGGATCAAATAATGGTTTGGGGAATAACACGAATGAACAAGGGTTGAATTTTTGGGTATTTGATCGAAAAAAGGAATGTGTTTGGGTTTTGGTGTTTGTGAAGATCAAATGAGGGTTTTTGTGATGAACATGGATGAACACGATTTAAATTTTGGGTGTTTGATCGGAAAAAAAAAAGAAATGGTTTGGGTTTTGGTGTTTGTGAATATCAAATGATGGTTTTTGAGATAAATACGGATTAACAAATGATGAACACAAATGAATTTCTAAAGAGAAGTCAAAGAATTTTGAGAGAATCAGAGAGTTAGAGAAGGCAAAATCACAAAATGATTAAAAAAAAGAAAGAAAATGGTTGAAATTGGAAAAATTTTGGCTTATATACGAGTCCAATCCAAATTTGAGTTTGGGTTTTGGCCTGCGTGTTTTTAAACTTCATTTGGCATTGTAGTGTTGTACCCTAGTTTTAAATTTGTTCAATTTAGTTCAAATTTAATGATGCAATTTAATAATTTAAGCTTCATATTTTAAATCTGTTCAATTTGATCCTTATATATTTTTCAATTCTTTCAATTAATATATATGTTTATATTATTAAATTAATATATAGTTTATATATACTATATAGTTTATATATACTAATAATTATATAATATATAGTTTATATATACTATATATTTTATATATACTAATGAACTATATACTATATAGTTTATATATACTGATGAACTATATAGTTTATATAAACTAATGAACCATATGAACTATATACTCTATAATTTATATATACTAATGAACTATATAATATATAATTTATATATACTAATGAACTATATAGTTTATTAATATAATTATATAAAGTATATACTTTATAGTTTATTAATATAAACTATATATATATAGTCTATATTAATGAACTATAAAGTATATAGTTTATATATAGTATATAATATAGTTTATAATATATAGTAAATTGCATTTATTTCAAAAGTTAAGAAAAACAATTAAAACAAATATAATATATAGTTCTTATATACACTATGTTGAAAACATTTTGATGTTTCGATATAACAAATTAAGTTAAATGAATTTTAAGGTTTTACAAAAGATTTTCTAAGTATATTCGATGTAATTATTCGAATATCAAAATATTACTCCAAGTCTTTCAAAGTTCATTTTAATCCTTACTAAAGTGTAAAATTGTGTTTTATACTTAAATTATTTTAAAACAATTTTACAAAGTATTTCGAGCCAAATATATTTTCTTTTTAAAGGGTTTCAAGAATAATTAGATTGCCCAGGGGTACAAATTCCCCCATGGGTACCGATTCCCCCCGAGGGGGAACAGATTCCCCCCAGGGGGTACCGATTCCCCCTGTCTAACGGTAAAAAACATATTGCACTTAGGGAACCGATTCCCCATGAGGGGGTATCGATTCCCCCATGCTCCAAGCTGTTTTATTAATTGTTTCTCATCCCCAAATGGCTCCAAAACATCCCAACGACTATATACGATTTCAAACACATTCCAAGCTATAAATACAAGCTAAGGACACTTGAAGAAGTAAGAGAACAACTATCCAAGCAATCAAACACAAGAGAAGAGTTTTTCATTCTTATTCATCTTTCTCTTGTAAATATTTGTTCTGTGAACTCAATCTTGTAAACACCTACCTTAGAGAGGTTTTCTTGTTTACATTTCTTATCATTTTGTAAAGGGGAAATGTTCTAGCTAATCCCGTGTAAAAGCTAGGGAAAGGTTCTAGTTTAGCCCGGAAAAACTAGGGAGTTTGTAAGGTTACTCTATATCCTCAAAAGAAAGAACAAATTAGTGAATTTGTTGGAAAATCCTTGGTGAGGAGCTAAGGTAGTGGACGTAGACTTTGATTAAGAAAGTAGAACAACTATAAATCGCTATGCAATTCTCTATCTTTCAATCTCCTTACTCCCTAAACACAAAACTGTTCCGACCCCTCTTTGCAAACCGTTCCGGTTGTCGATTCGAGCTTCCGAAAATCCCAACACACTACATAGTTTATATATAATATATAAAATTATAAATATAAACTATATAGTTTATATATATTAATATATATATATATATATTAATATATTATAATTGTTTTAATTTTTTTAACTTTTGATATGAATGCAATTTATTCTATTTTTCATATTTGTTTTACATTTTACAATTATTTTGATTTCATCCTTTTGTGTTATTTACTTTATTTAAATTTTAATTCGTTCATTTTTATATTTATTCAATTTAGTCATTAAATTTATAGTTGCATCTGAATTTGACCCATTCTTATTCTTATTTATATTTTTTCTAATTAGCCCATAACTTTTTAAATGGGTATAATTTAATCATTTTCTATATTAATTTCAACCTCACATTTTAAAATTATTTCGATTTGGTCCCTTATCAATGCGCGTAGTTTAATTTATTTAAAATTTTTTTGTAATTTCACATTTGTTCAATTTAGTCCTTAAATTTATATTTTGCATAAAATTGATCCATGATTATTTATATTCTTAGTAATTTACTCTAAATCATATACAATTACAAATTGCAATTCAACGTTCGCGAATCCAAAAATAAAAATTGACTCGATCTGAACTTGATCCGTATCTGATAAAGATCCGACCTAAATTTTATCTGCCAATGATGTGACCTGATCTGAATGAGATCCACCTGAAGTCCATCCGAACCTGAATTAACCTTGTCTTTAACTGCTCTGAGCCTAAACTGTTTTGACTTGAACTGACATCGATCTGAACTGAAAGTAATCCAAATTGAACCTGGTGTCAAATCAACCTAAAAATAACCTGACCTGATCCGAGTTGAAGCATCAAATTGACTTAACTTGACATGTACCTGACCTGACAGAATCCGACTGAAACCTAAACTATTACCTAATTTTACATTCATGGTGATTTCTTATCCTTAATTGCCTTGAATTTCAAGATCTTCCTAGACATATTGTTATTTTAATTGCCACGTTGGATCTTCTTGCCGACATCCACAAGTTGAATTTGGTTTAAACTCTAATAATTCTCATGTATATTGTATCAATGATAACATCAATAAATTAAATTCAATAATAAAAAATTAATTATTGAATGAATATAATTATTTGCTAGATGATAAAGAAAATAATAATAAAAACATAAAAAACATAAAAAATGTAAATTATATATATAAATAATATAATATAATAATATATATAAATAATCAGTTGAACTAGTTGTATGAGACATTAAACTCTTAAATAAGGTTAGAGGTACGAATCTTAACATTTGTGAATGGAACAAACTAGGTTGAAAGGGTTGTCATCACCACCGTAATACTTGATATGAAATAATCAACTAATAAATGAGATATTGGTGGTTGTACTAAGAAAGGTAAATTTTTAAATAAAAAAGCGATTTTAGAATATAAAAAAGTAAAATAATCATTTTATCACTTTTAAAAGTCAATAAACTCATATCATATGATCTGAGGATAGTTTTATAAATTTTAATAATTAATAAGTTAACAAAACAACACTAGAAATATCATTGGTATACTTTACTCAAAATTAAAATATATAAAAATTTAAAATTTTTAACACAATTTTCTTATCAACTTTTATTATAGCTCAGTCCACAGCAGATCCTCGACCGGCGGGAAAATGAGGAAAATCAAAACTGAAATGCGGGAAGGAAACAAAGCCTAAATTCTACACTATAAATTCAGAAACCAAAATTCTTCTCAAACCCCAAATTCCTTCTGTTCTTAACCATAAGAAAAATTGTCAGTTTGTTGGATAGAATGGAAAGGAGAAAGCAATCAAGGGTTTCACGCGATGAGGAAACAGCAGAAAATCACTCTTCTTCAAACGAAAAGAGCTTATATGAGGTATTTCTATTTTTATTATTATTATCTTGGTTTGGAATTTAGGGTTTATCTTTTTTTTGTGTGTGCTTATGACGAAGTTTAGCGTTTCTTTCTTTTTGTTTAGTTTTCTAGAGAAAAAAATGTGTTCGGCTTAGATATGGACATGCATTGAAAATTCACTCTGTCATTTATGTCAGACAACAAATGACATGAAAAGTTTGAAACTATGTACGCATAAGAGACTTGAGTTTCAGTTTTATTTTTTGGCTTCAGTGTGACTTCTCAAAATATTTTCATTGCTTCATTCCAAGAGAATTATTAAGGTTTTTGGGTGAGTTTATTCTTTGATATTTCCATGTTAAATTTGAACAAAGAGACCTAATAACGACGAGTTGCTTGTAGGTTCTCGGTGTTGAAAAGACGGCATCTCAGCAGGAGATTAAGAAAGCATATTATAAGTTGGCCCTAAGACTGCATCCTGATAAAAATCCTGGTGATGAGGTAAAAGCTGAAGCTAATTTGTGTCTAAGCAACGGTTTCTTTTGTACATATTAATGGAAGAGTACAATTTTGGTTGCCTTCATCTATACAGGAAGGTAAAGAGAAATTTCAGCAATTGCAAAAGGTAATGTCCATTCTTGGTGATGAGGAGAAACGAGCAGTCTACGACCACACTGGCTGCGTTGATGATGTGAGTAAATGTAGTTCCGGGCTATGTTATACTGAATCTTTATTTTGCTTGAAGTATTCATGTTTGACACTCCGGGGACAGTTACTAATTGAGCATTTTCTAACATGTTTCTATTATTTTGTTGATCAGGACCTTGCTGGGGACGTTGTTGAGAATTTGAAAACCTTTTTCAGGACTATGTATAAGAAGGTAGCATCCTTTGTTGACTCCACTTTTCTTTATGTTATTAGAAGTTTGGCTTTTACTTCCATTTCATTCACCATGGTTTAATCAACCCCAGGTCACTGAGGCTGATATTGAACAGTTTGAAGCAAACTATAGGGGATCTGAATCTGAGAAGAAAGATTTAATTGATCTTTATAAGAAGTACAAGGGCAATATGAATAAGTAAGAGAGGCAGTGTGTGTACATATGTGTGTTTGTTTCCTTAACGCATTCCTGATTATTTCTAATCTGTTGCCCCCTCGACAGGCTGTTCTGTTCAATGCTTTGTTCAGAACCTAAGCTTGACTCACACCGTTTCAAGGATTTGCTTGATGAGGCAATAGCTGCTGGTGAGTCTTTCTTTCAACTTTTATTTACACAATCAAAGCATTGTTCCACTTCATAGATATTTTAAAAATGGATGAGCTAAATTGACTACATGGATGTGCATGATTCTGAGGCCTATTAAATTCTTACAGCTTTTAGTTGATGGTTACCTTTCAATGATTTTCCTCTGTTTCTTTTGGCCATTTAGGAGAATTGAAAGAAACCAAGCCTATCAGAAATGGGCAAAGAAAGTATCTGAAATAAAGCCACCTACCAGTCCATTGAGAAGAAAGGAGAAGTGAGTGTTGTGCTGGGTCTTTTCCCTACATTTATAGATAATTAACTTTATTGTGATGTAGAAATATTTGGGGTTTTGTTGGATGTTTAACAGGTCAACTAAACAGTCAGAATCAGACCTGTTTGCAATTATATCTGAGCGCAGAAGTGAGAGGAAAGACCGGTTTGATTCCTTGTTTTCATCACTGGTGTCCAAATATGGGGGCAATGCAGATTCTGAACCCACTGAAGAAGAATTCGAAGCTGCACAGAGGAAAGTTGAAAGCCGAAAGGCCTCCAACAAATCAAAGTGCAAATGACATCAGTACTTAATACTATTTATGTGAAAAGCCTTAATAATCATGGAATGTTGCCTTGTGTAGTAGGTGATAGAGCCATTTGCACTTTGTCTTGGGCTATCTCCTTTCTAATCGAAGGTGGTTGCATTATGTATGCTTTGTCTGTAAAACACAACCCTTTGAATTCCAGAATTCCTTTGCAGTTAAATTTGAAGAAAGGCTCTGATGATGATTTAATCATTTGTCCAATTCTGGAGAATCTGCCCGTTGCCTCATGTAAAACAGCTTCAGAAATCTGGAAAAAATAATTTAAACAAAAAAATTAAAATCTAGAGTTGTCAGAAAAATATTCGAGTAATCCCACGCAATAGATCTGCATATCCAATTAAAACAAAAAACAATTTAGAATTTCGGATTGGACAAATTATGGAGGATCCGAATGTCCATATTTGTGGAGGAAGATGACTCTCTCTCTCTATTAACCTATAAGGAGAACCGTTGGTTGAGTATATTGATTAACAATTTTCTTGTCCTAATTCAAGGTTGAGTAATTCAAGTCAATCACATTCTTTGAGAAGGTAACTGTTGTGCTAATTGTTGGTAGTCCAAAGAAGTAATATTTCACATTGAGTGATTAGAGATAAAATTTACATGTATACTATCATCATTTCTCTCTAGTTTGTAACACATGTTTTTATATCGTCACTTTGTTTTTATTCAATTATTTTTATCAACTTTTTAAAAGATAAAAGAAAAAAAATTATTCCAAGTTGTTTCTATTTTGTTAATTTAAGGGGTTGTTTTTTATTTGTTACTATCATCTTATCTCTCTCTCTCTTGTTGCAAATAGTAGTAACCTAGCATGGGTTATAAGTAGTACCAATTATAAATATTTTGAATTTTTAATATCAGAAGATTAATTGAAGTGTTCAGTTTCACCAGAAAAATTAGGACCATTGGGTTTCTTCTTATTAGTGAAAGGTGATGGAGTGCACAATTAATCAAACTATGAATCTTTAAGATTTTTGTATCTACTACAGCGAATGATCACCACCATTTGAAAAAAAAAATATTGAAAGAGATCGACATTTTATGAAAAAAAATAATATTATTACGTGATTGAAATATTAATTATGTTTATAAGTGTATGCATGAATTTCAAATCTTAACTTTATGACTGAAGTATATCACTAATTGTTATGATATTTTGCGCTACTAATATTTTGTGGTAGTAATTTTTTTTTGATAAATTTAAATTTATAAAGACTATAAGATGATTAGAGGTCACATGACGAACAATTTCTTTGGTATGTTTATAAAAAATATTATATTTAATTAGAATTTAAGAGAAGTGGAGGAAAAAATTTCCCTTTCGGTTCCAAGATTTCGTCTCGATTAGTCCGAATCAACCTACGTCACACACTTAGTTTTAGTGGGTAAATCTTCCCACATGAATTTTTTACATACACATAAGACTATTTACCACTTAAACCAACATCAATTTATAATCTTATTAATGATCATAATAGGGTTAATTATTATTATTTGAACTTTGAAGCATGACCATGTTTATTAGGTGGATTTCTCTTTGTTGAAAAAGAAGAGAGGTTAAGGACAAAGTTAATGGACAAACTTGTTATTAAGCCCCTAAACATTCTGTCTACAGTTGGCGGTTGCTGATGATAATTAATGGAGATTGAGATAGTAATAAATGGTGGTCAACGCTTGAATTTAGATGTTAAATTGAAATTTTATTTAAGATTTATAAGTAAAATTAATATTTTATCTACAGTTGAGATTAAATTAATATTATATCTAAAATTTAGGAGTTAAGTTAAAATTTAAACATTCTTACTAGTATAATACGTCAACAAATTAAAAGAAATAACTTAGAGAATAAAATAAGATAGATTCAAAACAAAAAATAACCACAGCATAAAAATATGTTTAAATTAATAATCAAAATAAGATAAATCAAAAATTTTAAAAAAATCATTGTAAATCGTCACATAAAATTTTTCCAAATTTAAATATAATAAAATATTTTACGATGTAAAATCAAACATATATGATAAAATATTTTGAAAATAAAAATTAAGTTAAAATATATAAAATAGATAAAATTGAGATGGGTTGTTGGCGAGAATAGTATAGCATTTGCACCCCTTGAAAAAAAGTGCAGATTATAAAGCTCATTTTCCTAGTCTTTTGTGTTCATAAGAAACCTAAAATCCAGTGGCTATCACACATATACAACAGCAAATGCCCAAAACACCCCCTTGCTTGAGCCATTCTGGAATATTCAAAAACTCTAATATTACCCCTTGTTATTATTTTTCGTATCTAAACTATTATTTTTATTTTTTAATTTGGTACCTTACCGTTAAAATATTAATAGAATTATTTGCATGATATTTTTTTAACTTTTTCAATGATGAAATGACATTAATGATAGTTTTTAACGGTGAAATATCGAACTGAAACTTAAATTATACATTAGATATGATTTAAAAAAATAAAGTTTAATTACCAAAATGAAACAAAAATAATAGTTTAGATACTAAATGTGTAGTTTACCCTTATTTTTTCTTTCAAACGATTGCGACTTCACACCTACATGCTGGAAAGTATTCCCTGGTGCTATTTTTGTGTGGGTATGTAATGTCTGTGATCTCCCATGAATATGCAAATGCAAGCAAAGTTTTTTTGCCTTTAACTTTGGTTTTTCCCACACCTCGTCCTCTCCACTTGAACTTGATTTCTTTCCCATTCTTTGTTTTTTTTTTCCATTTATATGGTAAATTTTTTTAACAAATTAATTTGATTTCCAATTAAGTTATTTATTAATTTGGTAAGTCATCGCCATTTTAATTTATTTTCTAATTAAGGATGGCTGTTGCTTTTGCTCTTGTTTGTCCATCCACTTCTCTCTCCATCACTTATAATCCCACTGCCATATCATCATTCTCATATTTTAACTTCACTCAACTCTGGGTGTTTCTCTCTTCTTACATATAAGATCATAACTTTTTTCTTCTTGGAGAGCTTCAATAGTGTCAAAAGTTTCATCTTTTTTAAAAAATTTACTCTAACCTCTCTAGTTCTCCCGTCTTTTTTTTTTTTTGCTTTTTCTGCAAATTTTCTTTCTGTTACTTCTTTGCCTTGGCATCAAATTTTGGAGCTCGTCTTTTTCTTTGCTTATTAAGTTGTTTTAGGTGAGATTTCTGAAATTGGTTTATTTCCTTGTTGAATAATAAAAGACTGGATCTTTATCTTTGGTCTTTTGAAGGCCTCCATGGAGAGTGATAATGGTGATGTGAAGTCCAAGATGGAAGACTATGAAGTCATAGAACAGATTGGAAGAGGAGCTTTTGGAGCTGCTTTTCTTGTTCTCCATAAACTTGAGAAAGTCAAGTATGTATTGTACTCATTTTTCCCTTGCTGTTTTTCTCCCCAATTGCCTTGTGACTTGATATTAGAGGAGCATACAATAGAAATCTTTTGAGGAAATCTTTGATATAAAATTTCATTTTCCCCAAAGAAGGAGAAATTCCCATGGGAGTGTTGATGTTTAGTCTGTTCTTACTGAGGAATTTCTGGAATGGAAAAATCAAGATTTCTTGTGACTGGCTATGTAGCAAAGCCATTATTCTGAATGTGTGGCCTTAATTTCATTATTGCAGCTGTCAGCACTGTTACACGTCTTTTAGCAATTATTGACTGAAGCTAGCAGTTATGACATGTTTTTATTTTCCATATCTGTTAGGTATGTGTTGAAGAAGATTCGCCTGGCCAAGCAAACTGAGAAATTTAAAAGAACAGCACACCAAGAGGTCGCTTTCTTAAAATATTTCCTCATCATTTTTTGTTTAAATTAATTAACATGTGAGTTATGTGAAAGTTGCGAGATTATTCCTAATATTTTCATGTTGAATTATCCACATAACATTTTTTTGGCATTTTCCTGTCTCATATGCTCATGGTCAAATTTCATTAAGTAATATTTCTTAGTGTTCAAAATTCCCTTATTCAAATGAAATCCTGATTGTAGAAATTTGGTTTGAATATGGTTGTCTATGTTTTTTCCAACAATCAAACTTTGTAATGTGATGACCCTTGGTTGTGAATCTTTATCTACTAATTGGTATTTTTGAAACCTTGAGTTCTCCTTTTACCAGTCCCATCCTTCTTGCCACTCCGAAGGCTGCGCCTGCGATCTTTATTTTGTACTTTTGGAGTGAATTATGTTCTTTTACAAACACCTGAAATCGGGAAGTCCGAAACAGTCTGAAATTTTGTTCACACCGGTATTACCATGCAAGTTGAGATACTATCCATTATTTATAGTGTGTCTGGTTTGAGGCACAAAGAAAGATAACCCTTCATCTAGTTGAGATACTTTGTTTGGTTCAAGAGTTAATCGCAAATAACCAATAATCTCATATGTAGCAATATAATATGTCTTCTAAACTTGGATATAGCCTTCGCACCTGAAATTTTGGGTTCGAAAGATCCCTAGTTAATTCAGAAGGGATTTATTTTAGTCCAGTAAAAAATTCCTTCACTTAATCCACAAGTGTACTTGTGAAATGATGCCAAATAAGATACCGAAGACGTCTGGATAGCTCATTCTTTGGAATGCAGTAATTTTTTCATATCGCAAACCAAGAACACCTTAATTCATCTCTAGCCAGTCCATGTTTGATAATGTCTCTCTCAATATGGCCTTTTTTTTTTGCACGGCAGATGGAACTGATTTCCAAATTGAATAGCCTATATATTGTGGAGTACAAAGATGCTTGGGTTGATAAGGTGAAGGGATTTATGACTATTTTAGATTTACTATGTAGATAAGAGTTGCTGCAAAATATTATAATTTATATTGCCGAGTACACGATTAACTCGTCCGTGATTTGTTAATTTGCCTTCATTCTTCTCAGGCAAACTGTATATGCATTGTAACTAGCTACTGTGAAGGAGGGGACATGTAAGTTACCTTCGGAACAAAGTTTTTTTTTTTTTGGATCATATTTTGAAGGAATATGCAAGTTCTTTAATCATCTTATGCATTCTAGGGAATTTTTATGCTCATAGACTGCATTAGTATAAATCAGACCTTGTATTGGGAGTTAAGGACTTCTGTAATTTTTGAGTCGACATAATTTCTCACTGCT